TCTCTCACGTTGATGTCTCTCTCTCTCTCTCTCTCTCTCTCTCTCTCTCATTCTCTCTCTAAAATGAATTAAAAAATTATGCTCATTGCACATTATGTTTCATGTGCAAAGATGTATATAAATCTAGGCTGGTTTGGATGTGATAGTGCACTAATATTTCAGGAAATGGTTAATTATTTTAGAGATAGCGCTCTCTGTCAGTTGTCTTGCATTTGTATGGCCCATGACCACCCAACAGAGATGACCCAGACGACCCCCCAAAACCACCGAGTGACAAGACCAGTAAGAGCTCCTTCTCACGTTTACTTCAAGGAGAAATTTCTTCTAGAAGTAACTCGGGACCAAAGCAAATGGAGTATCATTCCTTTTCTTCACCTCAGAGCATTTGTTTATGGGACTTTTTCCCTGGGAGCCCTTGGGATTCGGAGGCACATAGAGATATTTGCAGTTCTCCAGTGTAGCTGGTTAGGTAGGCTTCTGCCTTTCCTGTCTTTGCAAATTAAAACCACATTGTGGAGAAAGAAATAAAGGGAATGGAGGTTGTACATCCCTGGCATTCGGTGGCCCACGTGTGGTGGGAGGCGATCTGAGAGCTTGTCCAGCTCCTATGCAAAATGGGGCAGCTTTTCGGGGGTTCTTTCCACAGCCGTGTCTCAGGGACTGTTTTCAAATCATCTCAAAAGATGAATTAAATGGCCCACCGTGGGAGTGGTCTCTCAGGTGAGGTCCAGCCGTGGCCCCTCCACGGGCCTCCTGGAGTGCTGGCCAGGGTGGCGGGCGGCCAGCGCAGGCGGCTGCACCCGCCTGCAGTGTGTGTGCTGGCGCGCAGCCCTGGTGCAGAGCGTTTCCAAGGAGGATGCGAGCTGACGGGGAGCCAGGGGAGCGCCTGAGAATCCTAGATAGGGGTTCCTTCCCCGTTTCCTATGTGGCTAGAACAGGCGGGAAGAATAAATCAGGGTTTCCTTAGCATGAATGGAAATTTACTGTGGTTTTCTTCTCTTTGACCTTTAAAGATGGGAGATATATTTATCTTTAGGTGGAAAGGTGCCAGGAGAGAGACACACAGTAATGACAATAGACTTTTACCATAAGAAGAAACAAATAATTACATTTTCATGCCCTTTTAATATTAGAGGACTGCTCTCCTTTAGATGTGAGGCTTAATAAAATTCAAGCCCAACAAATATTTACTGAGAACTTACTCTCTAGCCAGCTTGCGGATTAGTAAGTCACAGTCCTTGCCCTGGAGCTCACCATCGATCGGAGAAAATAAATGAATGGCAGACCGTTATGTAATACAATATGGTAAACTCTAAAATCAGGACATACAGGGGCGAGCACACACACACACACACGCACACGCACACGCACACACATTGCTCTGAGAACAAAGGCAAAGGAGCAATCAATTTCCATTTAGGGATCAAAGTGAGCTAGTGAGGGAGCGAGGCCACCTCTGAGTTGTGCCTTAAGGACCTGCAGGGGCTCTCAGGATGGAGATGGGGAGGGGGTGGGAGGAGTGGCTGCAGCACCAGCAAGAGGGACAGAGTACAAAGAAAGAGGAAGATGAGGAGGCTGTGTTTGCGTATCAGATCAACCCGTACACCCTAAACACGATTAAAAAACGACACGTCAGCACAGTGAACAAAAGCATCAATGAGGGCACATGCAGGAAGGAGCTGCTCCGAGGAGGGGCAGGAAGCTGTAAAGTGTGTGGTATGTTCAGGAGCCTGGGGGTGGGGGGAGAGGGGAGGCTCCAAGGGAAAAGCAACGTGATGGTGATGCTGATACATCGCAGAGACTGGCTCCGGGAGATGCGGGGGGGTCCCTGAGAAAGGGTTTGGGGCCGTTCCAAAGGCAGAAAAGGATGCGGATGCTGGACGCTCCTACGTGGTGCTAGGCATGATCTGGAAATAGGACTCGGAAACCTAGAGAGGCTGGGGAGTGACACAGGGGGAGCCCTCTCTGAAGTTCCCCGGTCGGGCAGCTGATGTTAAAGGAGATGGTGCCAGGGCCAGCGCGGGCGAGGGAATGGGGGGATTAGAACAAACCAGGGCAGGAGTTGTCTGGTGTCAGAACAGAGCTCTGGGAGTCCGTGGAGATTTGGGTGCACAGAGTCCATGACAGAGTCAGAGGTTTGGCGTTATCGGACCTGCCTGGAGTGTCCTGGCTCGGCAGGACCCCGGCCCCGTGGCACCTGCATCTTCTCCAGCACAGCTTCACCCACACACCCCGCTCCCTTCGAGCTGGCATGCCGCGCAGAACCAGGGCGCCGAGCGATGGGAATCACACACATGTACGTTTCTGATGAAATCTCTGTTCCATAACAGCACGTGGGTCCTCGACTGTTGATAACTTCATTTTGTTGTCACGTCAGCTATTTTCATGCGACACCAGCTATGACTGCATTCAGGGTCGGACAAAAGTAGGTTTACAGTTGTTCATATGGAAAATAATACAGTAATGAATAAACAATCATATAAGAATAAACTCCATGTTTCTTGTACTCACAGCTGTAAACCTATGCTTGCCCCACCCTGTATTATTATCAAAGGGGCAAGTGTGGGTCTGCACAGGGCACTGTTATTTGTATTTTCCTTTTCCTTATGTGACTTTTAAAAACTGAGATAGCGCCATACTTCAAAAACCAGTAATGAGAAAACAGGTAATGGAGCGCAAGGGCCTTTTCTGCCATTTTCCTAGGATGTTTTCCTCTCTATTCATATGTTCAATTGTGTGTGTGGGGGGGTTTGATATGCTCATCTTTCAACTCTTTAAATAAATGCCTTTTGGAATATTTTTTAAAACCTCCGCTTCTGAAAGAGGCTGCTCACCAAAGAGTAATAAAATAATAAAATAAAAATAATCATATATAAAGTTATACAAAATCCATCCTAAGGTATTAAAATCAGCTTTTGCCTATTGGTCTCTATGGTGAAATTCTTATGTTGAAAGGTAAAGTGGAGTTGCTTCCCCAGCCCTGGTTGGGCTGCAAACATTCGCCAGGTCTGTCCCCGGGCCCTCGTCAGCACTGCGCATCCTCCCCCACAGCCGGGCATGGAGACCACAGGGGCGGGTGCGTCTGCCTCAGCCAGGACTTGGGGAGGATGCGGTTGTTAGGATACGCAGGCTGGGGCCCAGATAGTCAAATAAAAATGCTGAAGACAGAAGCATCTTAAGCTGGTGTCCTAAATAAATCAAAGGTCACCTGAATAATTCAGGAGTCCTCAGTTTGTACAAAATTGGCTTTTTCACAAGCAAAGAAGCCTGGGTAATTTTAGCAGGAGCTGTTTCCACAAAAGGTTGTTTAATTCACACCTAGGCACGAAGAGAGAGAGGTAATTCCCTCATTCCATGTGCTGTGAGGAAAAGGCGGGGGGAGGCTTCTGGCAGCGCATAAACCTTAGTAGGGATTTGCAAGATGCGTTTCACAGAACCCAAACATTTGTCACCAGTTCATCTCTGCTGAGTTCCTGACCCTTGTGGGCTTTGCTTCTCAGTGTTTTTTCCCTCTATTATTTTTCAAAATGTAAATGGTTTTAATCTTCTTTGTTAGAAAAGTTGTACTTCTTCACTGAGAAAAAGAGCCAGTACAGAAAATAGAAAGTAATCATTGAAGCAAAAGCTCACCACACAAAAGTCCCACTACCAAAATACTCCAGATTGTCTCTGCGCCTATATGCACCCAGCGTTATCAACAAAAAATGGATGGCACTGGAACTGTCTTAGTACCATGCGATTTTAGCCAGTCATCTCAATTCCCAGCCCCACCGCTGGCCTTAGGCTGTCACTAATCTACTTTCCGTCTCTATGAATCTGCCTTTTCTGGACATTTCCTATAGACATGCTTTGTGGTCTTTGTGTATGGATTCTTCATTTAGCACCATCTTGTTGAAGCTCACCCAGGTTGTAGTATGCCTCAGTACTTCATTGCTTTTTATTGCTAAAGGGTATTCCAACGTATGAATGGACCACATTTAATTTATCCATTGACCAGTTGATGGGCATTTGGGTAGTTTCCACCTTTTAGCTACTATAAATAACGCTGCTATGAACATTCGTGCCCAAGTCTTTGTGTAGACATGTCTTTTTATGTCTCTCGATAGGTAACTAGAAATGTAATTATTGGGTCATGTGATTAATCTACCCTGAACATTTTAGGAATCTACCAAGTTGTTTTTCCAAGTGGCTGCACCACATTACAGTACCCCCCACCAATGTATGAGGGTTCAAGTTTCTCACATTCTTCAGAGGGAGAGGGAGAGGGAGAGAGACTAAACTCTCTTAAACATCTGTTCTGATTCTCCACAGAATTTCTTACAATGGTGTTGACTAATGTCCCTTCCTCCACGAGAGAAAGGGACCGAGGCAGGGACCTGTTTGTCACCGTATTCTAGCACCTAGCTCAGTGCCTCGTACGGAGTAAATCTTTCCTGAATGTATGGATTTTAAAGATGGATGGTGGCAGTCAGACAGGTGGAGCAGGTGGATGCCAATAGATTACCTTGGAAGCAATAACACACGTGGGAAAGTGAGAACACAGAAGAGAAAAGACCAAATAAATTTTAATAGTTTATAACTCATTGAGCAAATGTGAGTGGTGCTCTTTGATCTAATAAATTGTCCTACAATGGCAGCTTCTGAGGACCAGCGCATAAGCCAGAGCGGGAGGGAGCAGGTGGGCTCGCTGTTCTGCGCGAGGTGGTGAGGTCAGCGGCGAGCGAGGAGATTGATGGCGCACTCTGGACCATCAGGGACATCTGTGGAATCTCTTTCCCCGAGGAGGGGAGTTTCATTTCTGTGATGTCCTTGGTATCCCACTGGGAGACAGTCAAATGGATCTCTGGGTTTTTTCTCTCATTCCTATTGGTTGATGGTAAAGCCCCCGCCTCTTTTTCCCTTTTGCTGGATTTAGGTGATTCATCATTTCGTGTGCGCTTTGATTGTTATCTGTGAAGGTGCATTTCCCTGCATTCCCAACAGTCCCCTCTCTCCATCAGGTACCAGAGTAACACTGCTTCCGCTGTTCTCGAAACAATTACCAACATTCAGCCCAAGGAGAGTGGAGGAGGAGTGGGCGAGACCCGGGAAGCCATTGTCTACAGGTTGTCAGAAGACATGCTGAGCAAGCTGCCTCCAGATTACATTCCACACGAGGTGAGCTGCACCTCCCCCACCTCCAGGGTACAGGGCCGCCGGGGGCTCCACAAAGCCCAGCGAGCTCAATGCCCGATGGTGTGTTTCAGTCCCTTCCCTGTCTGCTCATCCTTTCTTCACTGTGAGCTGTTCTTTCCACCCTTGGTCTTCTCTGCCTTGCCTTTCTCAGCATCGTGCAGATTATGGTCTGCACTTTCTCTGACGCCTTTCTCCACTTGCCTTCTGCCCCACTTTCTCTCTCAGTCACCTTCTCTCTACCCTTTTTGCACCTTTGGATTCCCAGAAATCTTAACCCTCTAAGCTGGAAACCTCTCCCTCCCGCTCTTGCCTAAGCCTGCTTTGTCCAGCCTGAAATTTGCCCCTTGTTCTTGCCCCCTGCCCTCCACACTTGTCATTTTCCAGTCCTCTCAGCCAGGTGCCAGGAAAGCAAGCGATGAAAGTGAACTCACTCCCCAGGTTGGATGGCAATAACTTTCTACTTCTTGGACCTCCTAGGTGCTTGCTTGTTAATCAGTTTTCCTCAAATGCTTTATCTCAGGACCCCTTTACAAAATGACGGAGGACCACAAATAGCTTTTTTTTTTTAATGTGGGTAAACTGCTGATGTTTAATATATTAGAAATTTAAACTGAGAAATTTCAAAAATATTAACTTATTATAAAGTGACAGTAATAAACCCATTATGTATTAACATAAATGACTTTTTAAACATTTTTAATTGATCTTATAGAGAGAGAAAGGAAGAGGGAGAGAGAAAGAGAGAAACATTGATGTGAGAGAAACATTGATGTGAGAGAAACATCGATTGGTTGCCTCCCATATGCTCCCTGACTGGGGATTGAACCTGAAACCTGGGTATGTGCCCTGACCAGGATTTGAACCCACAGCCCTTCAGTGCGAGGATGACACTCCAACCAACTGAGCCACACCAGCCAGGGCAAATGGCATTTTTACTTAAAAAATAGATATAATTTTCAAAACAGGAAAGTGCATGGAAATGAGTGGGAGTGTTTTAATTTTGCCAATCTCTTTAATATCTGGTTTAATAGAAGACAGTGGGGGTCCCATACCTGCCTCTGTGTTCAGTCAGCTGAGAGAGCAGGTCGCAGCCCTGGAAAACTCCTCTGTGCACGCCTGAGACAAGCCAGCGTCCCTGTCGCTGTGAAAAATTTCACCCCGTCGATCCCCTGAAAGGATCTCAGGAAAACTCAGGGGGCCCCAGGCCACACTTTGAGAACTGCTGATCTAGATAAATGTTTGTGGTAAAATTTCCGGATGGTCTGGAAGTTCTGTAAGAGATCCTCCAACCTGGCCTCCTGCTTCGTCCAAGGGGGCAGTTGCGTCCAGGGTGTCCTCGCTGTCTTGGCTTCCACCCAGCTGTGCCGATGTCAGAGGCCGCCTGAGTCCTGGACCGGCTGCGTGGAGGCTGATGCCCTGTGCAGGTGTAACTGTGGCCCGCCCTGCATCCCCACGCCTAAGAAAATGCGCTTGTCAGCTGGGAGCCCCTCGCCCTCCCACCTGTAACGAGTGCCCAGCAATGAAAAATCGTTTTCTTGCCTCTTGAAACGATTTGTTTCATCGTGCAGATGAGTGCCAAGACACTTGGCCATGACTCTGAAATCAATGGCTTCACATAGAGATAGTGCTAGCAAGGCGAGAACATATTTTTTTTAATGAGTCAATATTTTAAGTACTGGAGGGACTTTCAATGGTTCACTGGAAGCGATCTTCAGAGGACAGACGAGAGTAGTACCTGCCTCCAAAGGTGGTACAAACCGGCCTGTGAGAGAGAGACACTTACTCTGTATGACTGGACCGCAGGCTGACGCAATGGGAGGAGGGTCTCAAGGCCGTGGGGGTAACGTGAGGTTCAGGGTTAGCAGGGCACTTCACCAGGATCTCTGTTCGGCCTCCTCCTAGCAGCCGGGGACCGGGGGGCGGGGGGGGGGGGCGTCATTATATATGGAGGTCACATGGGGGGAGTTAGTGCTGAAGGCATCTACAGTCACTTCCTCTCTCGGGGTCACTTCCTTTCTCGTGTTCTTTGCTTTATGGAGGAGATGCGCTCTGAGATGCGGTGGTGACGTGACGTTTGTAAACAGAAATATAATCACAGTGTTGACTTCCCCAGTGAAAACGAGCCCGTGACTGCCCGGTCTCACAGACACTGGAAATCCCCCCCGAGACCCCAGCAACTCTTTCATTTCTTAATGAAAAGACAGTTTAGGCTGGAACAACAATCATAGTCAGAATAAAATGAGTACCAGCATCCGATTTTCCAGCGGCTAAGTGTTCCCTAAGCCTGTCTCTGCTGTGGGGAGTTTCTCTTTGGAGCCCTCAGCGGGCTGAGGCCATTGGTTTGGGGCTGTTAGCGAACTAAAAGTGACTGAGCTATTGCTCTGACCTTGTAACCAGTACCTGCGCTTTATTTCCCCTTAATGGGTTTGCAAAGGTACAGTTCCTCATTGTCCCTTTCCCTTAAGTGTGACCTCCACAGGGTAGTCATGATGTGAAGGGGATGCTATGTAAGCTATTCGGTCACTGGAGGCTGAAGGGCTAGAGATGGGGAAGGGCTAGAGGAGCCTGCAAAAACGGAAGTTCTAGAACAGGAATTTAGGAGAATGCCAGGAGGCTAGGGACCTCCGCCGGCACGTGCGACGGGGGGTTCGGACTTCCTCGCTGCCAGCAGGGCCGTGCAGGCTGCTCAGTGCACAGCTGCTTCCCTCTGAGTCTGTGCTCACCTCCACCCTGGCTTCCTGGAAGGGCGTGGAGTCTGCCCAGGCGGGACTTCTGTGCCTTGAGAGAGGGTCCCGTAAGATGAGGGCGTGGTCTGGCGCCATCCGTCCCTCGCATTCCGTGACTCGGGACAGGCAGTGGGCACCTCCGGCCGAGGACCCCATGGCTCCCCATCCCCGGTGGGTCCTTGGACAGGGCTGTCACTCTGAACTCTCTCCCTCTCTGTGGGTTTATCTTTCCCCCTGTTCTGGCCGCTCTCCCATTGCGGCCAGTGGAAGGTCAGCCCTCTCTCGGAGCCCATGCCAGGATTTGTAGTCAATCTTATCTGGGGCAGACGTCACGAGATTGAAATGTGCACATGGATTGGCGTATTTTTCAATAATTGTTGGGCTTTATTGTTTCCATAACCTGAGGCTTTTGTATCGGTCTCTTCAAAATGGTCCGTAAATGACGTACCAAAAGGAGCCAATGGCAGGTGCCTACCGACTCGCCCACGAAGGCACATATTCCCGTTGGTTAAGTTAGAAAAGCCTCAACCGGCAGGCGCCCTGGCCCAGGCCACACGGCCTCCGGGAGTCCTATCCATTGGTGACTGTTCTGGAAAGATTTCAGCCGTATCTCCTGTCTGTGACATTTCTAACAGCAACTCTGCAAGAATTATGAAAAAAAAGTATTCCAAACTGTGCTCCTACAAAGGTTAAATCGCAAAAGAGTATTTAACGGACACTTAGTCATTAATCATTTGAAAGGGAAAAGGGTGCAATTTTACTTCAGCTTCTTAAAGTCTATTTCCAATTATCAACGAAAGTACAATCAGTAGGAAAGAAAAATCGTTTTAGTTGAACAGTCATGTTTGAAGACCGGAAAATGGGGGACTTACTGGCAGGGCTGGTTCTGCAGGGGACATTGGAGAGTGTATTGGGCTGTGGAGGTGCTGCCGGAGGGCGGGGGAGAGCAGGGAGAGGGGAGGCCATCGGGAGACGGGTGACAGGCGAGTTTTTAAAATCTCCCTCCTTTGCTGTACTTTGTTTCAGGTGAAAGCTCGCTTGGTCAAGATGGGACACCTTAACTCCATGAACATATTTCTCAGACAGGAAATCGACAGAATGCAAAAGGTGATAACAATACTCCGCAACAGCCTGAGCGACCTAAAATTAGCCATCGAAGGGACCATCATCATGAGTGAGGTGAGCGGTTGGTTCCTCAATGGTCGTTCCCTCTTTTTGTGGCTTTTCTTGCTTCTCTGCTTTAACTTCATCTTTTTTTTTTTTTTTACCTTCGGTCATTTTATCTTTTATTCATTTTTTTTTCTTTGTTGATTAAGGCATTACATATGTGTCCTTCTCCTCCCATTGCCCCCCCCCGCCCCCCCCCACTCATACCCTCACCCCCCTGGTGTCTGTGTCCATTGGTTAGGCTTATATGCATACATACAGGTCCTTTGGATGATCTCTTTAACTTCATCTTTTTCAGAACTTGAGGGATGCCCTGGACAACATGTACGACGCTCGCATACCTCAGATCTGGAAGAGGGTGTCCTGGGACTCGTCCACCCTGGGCTTCTGGTTCACCGAACTTCTGGAGAGAAACTCCCAGTTTTCTATCTGGATATTTGAAGGGAGGCCCAATGTGTTCTGGATGACTGGCTTCTTCAATCCCCAAGGTACGTGCTCCTAGGGCAGTGGGCAGACTGGAAGGTGTGCGTGTGTGCATAGCAGTGCGGTGTGGTACATGGGTCTCACATAAAGCAGCACAGAGGGACAGCCTGCGGGGTGCTGGACACGTGCTTTCAAAGCTTGGAGACCACAGACGATCTTCTGTATTGGTTTTGCAAATGCAACCTTTGTTTTTCTTCTCATCCACTTGAGCAAGCCATCAGTCTTTGGCCAGAACATGTGAAATAGTAAAAAGGTTTCATGAAAACCTTAGTTTTTAAATGTTTATAAAAATGACAAAAATGAAGCACCAAAATATGCAGAAACTGTTGCCAAAGTACAGGAAATTAGACTGATTTCAACAGTGACCATGTGGCAGAAGTTTTATTCCCTGAACTCCAGAGTCTGCCACCCCCCTTCTTTTTTTTTTTTTTCCTTGAAAAGTGCTTTGCATTTATTCCTTCATCCTGGGAATGTTTACTGTGTAAATTACTGACCGATGTCATAGACTTCATAAAGTTCAGAAATACAACTTTTTCTCTCTGCAACATGGATAGTGTTACTTCAAGTAATTCTTGACCAAACTGAAGAGATAGTGGACTCCTTACGGTTCCACACCTTGTAGCTCCTCTAGCGGTGCAATTTAAGAAGCGTCAAGGGGGGTGGGGGGAGGAGACATATGTAATAAAATAAAATAAAAGATTGTTATAATAGTAAATACAAAATGTATAAAGATAATTTCAACTAGAAAAAAAATAAAAGGTTAGTCATTTTAAAAAAAAAAAGAAGAAGCGTGCACACTTAGAGAGCTGGGATGCGTTGTTACTCCTCGCAGCTGTGTGGCTGAATCTCCTAAAATAATGGTAAGTGAGGAGAGTCAAACAGGACTCATTGTAATTGTACACATTGTGCTGTATGTGTAATGAATGCACGTACACTGTTCAATTCCATTTGTACAGAGCAAACAGGCAAAACAGATCCATGGTGTTAAAATGAGGCTGGTGGTTACCCTCGGGGGCAGGCGGGGATTGCGAAGGTCACAAGAGGGCCTCTGGGGTCGGGAATGGCCCGTTTCTTGATCTGGACATGGCATTTCCTGGTGGAAATGCATGGAGCTGTACACTTCTCTTTGCATGAGTAATACCTCAATAAACAGTATCCCTTAAAAGCACACATTTAATTATCCTCGGGGTACGTGCACTCATTCACTCCCTGCATTTCCAAATGCCCTAATAGTTTCTAAATTTAAAACACTAACACGCTGACCTCGGTGGCCTCTATGCGCTTACCAGGTGGCGCATGTCGGATTTGAACAGGACAGCCCCCACTTTCACTTCTCCATTTTTTTCTCCCAGAATTTCTGTTGAATTTGGGGAGGAATGTTTTTTACTGTGATTCTCAGATTCCGTGTGTCTACTTGTGAGTCTCTTTCCTCCTTACCAACTAACTTGCAGTTTCAGTAAGTTGTCACCAGGTAATTCCTGGCTTTGGAGCCTGAAGAAATAGCGTTTAACTTAATGAGGCTGTTTAACCACCTTCTGTTTGCTAGCCCTCTGCTGGGAGCTTTCCATAGAAAGAAGTCTGAGGCCGGATTCCTGCCCCAAAGGGGCCCGTGATATGGTTGGCGAGACAGACGCTCCAGCAACTTTACTGCAATGAGAACTCAGTGCCACACGGGGACAGAGGACAGAGAGGGCAGGGCTTGGGGAGAGCTTCCCCTGGAGGCGGGGAGTAGGGTGTGCAGAGGCAGGGATGCGGGCAGCAGGGCCTGAGCAAAGGCAAGGCGTGTCCAGGGAAAGGAGGAGGCAGTGTGGCCGGAGCTCAGGAGCAGGAGCGGGGTGGTGGGGAGGGAGGCTGGAGCGTGAAGTCTCCTGGGGGAGTCTGGGCTGGAACATACAGGCACTGGGAGTCACCAACCCTCAGAAGACCATCCTGGGAAAAGGTGGAGGGAAGACTGGAATGTGGACCCAGAGCCACGAGTCTCTTACCAGGTCCAAGGGAGAGAGCCTGCCCCTCAGCCAGGTGCCGAGGAGGGACAGGTTGGATGGAGCGATTAAACCGGAATCCTCGCGAGTGCAGGGCCTGGCAATGGCTGGGGTGAAGGCAGGTGCCAGACCAGGGGTGCAAGAGGCACAGGTTGGGAGGAGGGGCGGGACGGCCAGGCGGGAGGTGTGCTGGCGGGCTAGGAGTTTTCGAGACCAGCAAGAACCAGTGATTTTAAAAACTGTACGGTTGTTGAGTGTATTTTTTATATTCGGAAACCAAGGGAGTGGGTTGGTTCTTCCCTGGCTTTTCACAGACACAGACAACTTAAGTCAGACATCACAGCCCACAATCTCTTTCAGTAATTGTTCCTCATTGAAAATGTGACTTAAGCCCTAGCCGGTCTGGCTCAGTGGATAGAGTGTTGGCCTATGGACTGAAGGGTCCCAGGTTCAATTCCGGTCAAGGGCACATGCCTGGGTTGCAGGCCTCCAGGGTGCATGCAGGAGGCAGCCGATCAATGATTCTCTCTCATCATTGATGTTTCTATCTCTTTATCCCTCTCCCTTCCTCTCTGACATCAATTTTTTTAAAGTGACTTAAGCCTGGCCAGTGTGGCTCAATGGTTGAGCGTTGACCTATGAACTAGGAGGTCATGGTTCGATTCCTGGTCAGGGCACATGCCCTGATTGCAGGGGGCAGCCGATCAATGATTCTCTCTGATCATTGATGTTTCTGTCTCTCTCTCCCTCTCCCTTCCTCTCTAAAAGCAATAAAAACATTTTTTTAAAATGTGACTTAAAATAGCAAGATATAAATACGAATTTATCTTCTCTTGGAACTTTCTGCGAGTGTTACAAGCCAGCTCACTTAAATACAAATGCAGGTGTCCACCTCAGGGTTGTTTTTACCTGTCTGTACTTGTTAATAATCCAACCCTTTCTGTCTTCTTTATTTTTGGCTTCAAGCTAAAGTTTGATCCCTCCTCCCAGGGTGTTCCATGTGTTGGAGAGCCCCGGACTTGTTCCAGCTCCCTGCCCTGCGCACACAAGCGCACAGACACGCACTCTCCTTATCAGCGATTGCTTCCCTTTGCAGCTTAGAGGGAGCCGACTTTCCCGCATACCAATCGCTCCTCCGCTTCCTTTCCTGCCTCTTATCTCAGGTCCACATCACCTGGCCAAATCCGGAAAGCAGGGAGCTCACAGCCGCTCGGTGCGAGCTCACAGACAGGGTGCTCGCAGATCAGCCCTTCAGACTCGGGGGCCTCTCCGCCGCTGTTTGACGTCAGTGATTGATTTCTCAACTTGAAAATATCTCCTGGATTCATAGCCTCGAACCCTATAGTGAAATGTTTCAGTTCAAAACATTTAAGTAAATATTTTAAATTTAAAAAAGCACATGCTTAAGTAAAACACAATGCAATTTACCAAAAGGCCATAGTTGCATCAGAAATACGTATTGTCAAAGCCACTCAGACTGTAATGCGCTTGAAATGCTCTGTGCTGCATGCCCGTTTTTGTGGTCTTACAGTGTCGTGGCATCTGACAGGTCTGGTGTGTTTCCCATCATGCCCCTGCTCATCGCCCCGCAGACCTCCATCCTCTGAGGGCCACGCAGCTGCAAGGACGGGTGTGGGCCCGGCTGGTGGCTGAGCTCACGCTGTTGGCGGTGCTGCTCCGGGCACTGTGGTGGCCTGGTGTTTGTCAGTCACGTTTGAAGAGTCTGACTCAGCGACCAGGGAGCTAATCTGGTATTTCCAGCCCCTTCACTCTCATTTCTGTAGCGATTGACGAGCTCAACATGTGGTAGTTAATCCGATTGTTGAAATGGTCAAGCCCTCTGCACCCAGGATCCTATCACATCAGTTCAGTGGCGCGGTTTTGGGCAACGTGTGGGCGTGCCTCCCAAGAGCTTCCTCGGGTGTGGACTTTCAGAGCATTGTGTTCAGGTGATTTAGACTCTGGGGTGTGTGTGTGTGTGTGATATGTGGGGGTGTGTTTAAAACGGAAGACTATGAGTTGCAAAGTCTGACTTCAAGCCCGGTGCTGACTGCCTTTTGAAGCCTCCTCGAGGGCAGCCCTGCTGGGCCAGCTGCTGGGACTGTGACCTCCCCAGAGCTCCTAATGAAGCAGCGGGCGGGCCAGTGTGCTCTCCAGCTCTCAAGCCTCTGGCCACACTACGCTGATCACGCCCTCTCTCTACACTACACTGACCATGCCCTCTCTCTACTCTACACTACCACTCCCTCTCTCTACACTACACCGACCACGCCTCTTTCTACACTACACTGACCACGCCCTCTCTCTACACTGTCCATACCCTCTCTCTCTTTACACTGACCACGCCCTCTCTTACATTACACTGTCCACGCGATATAGTTATTTTCAAATGTTTAACTCACTCTGGAGCTTGAGGCCATTTGGATGCAAAACTGTACTGGTTTTTCTGGTTTTTCCTCAGAGTCTTGACAGGCCACACCAGTCTTGGTGGCAGATACCAGTGACAACTTGTCATTCACTGTTAACATATGTGGCGAGCTGGCACGGCCATGGCATACTCAGCCCCAGATTGGGCACCTTATGTGGCGCACCAGCTCAGCCAGGTTCAGTGAGCCCGAGTGGGGGCAGTGAAGAATTAGAAAAGACAGACAAGAGAAGAAAGCTGGGTCTCAGTGGGATGCTGCCCTCTCAGATGGAGCGAGACAGCGCCACGGACTACAAGCCGTGTCTTTTTAAAAAAAATATATTTTTATTGATTTTTTTTACAGAGGGGAGGGGAGAGGGATAGAGAGTTAGAAACATAGATGAGAGAGAAACACTGATCAGCTGCCTCCCGCACACTCCCCACTGGGGATGTGTCCAAAACCAAGGTACATGCCCTTGACCAGAATCGAATCTGGGACCCTTCAGTCCGCAGGCCGACGCTCCATCCACTGAGCCAAACCGGTCAGGGCCATGTCTTTATTTTATAGCAGATTCCACGAGGCAAAGTAAGGGCGTGGTCAAGATGTTTACAGCCTTCT